AGGATGTTAATCGGTCGACTAACTTTGTCTGCTTCAGTCACCAGTTCTTCTCCTGTACACTGATTAGCTCATATGGGCAGGTTCTCAGTAATTCTTTCAGATTACACTATGTATATGGTACAAGTGCCTCCAATTGTATTAGGCTAGTACGCTGTTAAAATGATTCAGGCGTAATTCTAATGCTTCTTCAGAGGCCCAAATCCAAACAGTATGCTGCAGTTTGCTGTCAGATACTCTAAATGGGTTGTGTTACCACTAACTTTCCAACCAAATGTCCAACACCGAACCAAAGGAGAGAGATTCCGTATGCAGCCTCATAGATACTTCCAACTTATCAACTAGCTGGAATAGCTTAAAGCCAAAATCCAGTACACTTACTACTCTGTCAGCATGATGTTTCAATCGCACCACGCAACGAGATAACCGACCGTATTTCAAACTCGACTAGGTGCGGTTACAAAGATATCGGTATTCCTACCTAGGAGCTGCAATAGTTGCTGCCAATGATGTATCCTTAATGTTGATTTGATTTCTAATAATGAAGTCTATTTGCGAAAGGGTGGGTCAACAAAGGGTCCTTTTTGGTCTAAGTTCCACAAATTCTTCAACTAAATTTCTGCGGGAGACGAAATGATTTATGCCTTTACAGGCCCCAAGAAGTATGCACTTTGTGTAGAGCCTAAAGACTTGGGAGGACACTCCACTTTTTCACTGATTTCGATTTGCAAAAGTTTTGCCGTCTGATGGTGGCGAAACTTTTCACAATCGCTATCAGAATTCAGCTGCTATTCAACCAACACGCAAGTTGTCAAACCAGTTGCTACTATGGTGAAGGATGAAGCGGGGTGGGTTCAGACCACCGTTGTGGGAGTACTCTTTATTCAAATCTAAAACTCAGTTACATGAAGTTTGTTAAGTTACGGTGGGTAGTGAGTCGGGATTTTTTCTAAAAGAAGTGTATATATCATAGGACTGATACGAATGCATTTTAGCCTCAGCTGACGTTGACACAGTGTCCCTTTATATATCATATTAAAACCGGAAACGCGGACGTGAGTAATGCAGACACAAAAGATGTTCAAGTCATTCTGTTTTGACAATCAACTTTCAAATTCTTGCATGCAACCATCAGTTGCTGCGATAATAACGATCCCTATTTTTAGCTTAATTTTCACCATCATTAATATAAACTGACTGTAAGCTTGAGTGGTATATTCCGGCTACTATGAAGGGCTTCACTGATAACCTCCTTATCAGATGCAAAAACTGATGTCATTTTTCATCGTTTCGTTCTGTTCGACGAAAATAGTACAAACATGAAGTGACTGATAAGTAACCCATTTATTCTCAATGGACAAACTCGGTAAAGGAAAGCCAGATATTGTGCTCGGTTTATTAGGGGAATGTTTCATCTTATATTTTTGCTTGCACTTAAGGTGCGGGCAACACCTTAAGAAACGAGGGTGGATTTCGGAGCATTGTGCTTCATAGCGAACTTGCCACAGTTTTGCCTGTCAAATCAAATCGGATCAAAGCCAGTCCCGGTGAGTCCTGCAGTTATGATCTGCACTGGACCAATCAGAAATTCAGGTCTCCAGTCTACTCGTATTAGATTTAACTGTTTCTATTATATTCTGGGTCTTGGCAAGGAAGACGTTGAAAGATAGTAATCGAATCGTATCTGCTGAGGAATTCCATGATAGTCTCGTGTATTTGGTCGAACCTTTTGAGCATATATCACCTCCACAGCGACTCGTCTGTTTGGGACAGGGTCGAGTTTTTCCCAGTCACCCGGCGATCCTCTTCAGAGAGCTGAAAGGATAACTACCGCCTGAGATATGGGATGAGCTGATGACTCACTACACTCATTTCTGATCATAATGCTGCCTGTCATTTCAGAGGACAATAGAGATGATTCTACGTTGACATCAGGAATCGCAGCTAGTGGGGGAAATTAGCGTCTTGGTTTGTACTTCAGCTGACCAGAATTTGTTCACTTGCTAGCTTCACTTAGGGTCGCTTGACGAAAAAGGTGAAGATAGTTCATCAGTCAAAGATGGGCTGATACACAGTTTCGGTCTTTTCATTCACCGTAGAATGGACGTAATCTATTAGGCAGCAGTTAACCTCTGTTTTGAAATTTGAGGAACGTCAGAACTATTCGCCGAAATTCAGATTCGGCACTTTGCTGGGTCCGACGGAATTTATGCAAAACCCAGTAGAATGACGAATGGGTAAGCAACGGAACTAAGCACTTTTGCTAGCGATCAGGAGCGCTTGATATAACGAAGTTCATTAATAATGAACACTTCGGTAGAGGAGCATATTTTCACACCACCTAACGGCAGCCTACATATGTACGTTGCTCCCGTCTCTAATCCGTGCATAGTGCTGATATTTTTTTAGAGTGAATGAATCTGACAAGCTTGACCGTCATGAGATTTCATGATTGGCACGAGAAATCAGATGCTGGCTAACATGTTCACCATGTACACTGTAGTTTTAAGCCTTTCCATTTTACTTGCCGGTCGTTTGGGAACATAGCTTCTCAAATCACCTGTTACTCACCAAGTAATAGAAATATTCACTTTTAGAGGAGTCGCTTAGGCAACGACGAAGGTAGCTCACCAACTTTCACGCATATGTTTTTGATCACACACAATAATTTGTGGTTAAAAATTTAACACGTATTGTAAGGTTATGGAGGCCAATATTAGGTTTGGTATCTCGAATCTATAGCAAAGGTCTTAGAGGCATCCCCCAGCGATACTATGTCATTTAGTTGACACTATCCTGTTTGAACATACATCGTGTTTTCTGCGATAGGCCTCATCGATTCTGAGATAAAACTGTCGTCAACGATGATCTTCAACATGAAGTTGCGACATTCAGCAGGGTTCAGTGGGGTCTCCCGTCAAAGCCAAATTAATCCACAGAAAAATGTAGTTAGTGAAAGCTGATCGATCTTTCTAGGTACGAGAACGATGTGTACATGTGGTACTAAATGCGATAGAAGAATGCATGATTTTCTTCACTTCTCCAACCGCAGTGTTGTGTTGTGGCAAACGATGTTCGGTGTCCTTCGACTATGATGTAAAAACATGGTAGGCTCCTCGGAGTTCGCAGGAACGAAATACGATTCACGGAAAGCTTAGCCAATCATTCTGTCAAGGAGTCGTAAAACCTTAAGACTGATTTGACTGGATTGACCGAAATGATATAATTAACCGGTTTGGCTCACACAAAACTCCTACCAGTGTGGTAAACGCCAGCGATTGTATGACCAGCATGAGGAGAAAAACAGGAGACCGTTGTCGCTTTCTGTAACACTTTCTCGCGGGTCATACCTAAAATATGCGCTCGGCACCTTCTCTGCCATCATATACTGGGAACGGCTTCACTGAGTATGCGCGTACAACGAATTGTCAGCGAACGGAATCAGTCGACGCCGAGATACTCTGGTCACTTCGATATCAAGAGCTGCATATTAAAGCAACATGTGCATCTGCATGCTTATGCAACTTTTTTTTAACTATTTGGGAGTAAATATTAAGAAAGCCCACAGCGCTTTCAGAAGTGCAGCTTTACGCTCCCAAATAGTCTACACATTTGGTTTTGCGGCAAGTTCAGAAGCATATGAGCATAAATGATGGACAAAATCTGTCTGCTTTTCCTCTTTTTTGAGGTCTGCCACAGGTGTTGGCTGTTTGAGCACTCTATTAGAACAGAGTAACAGAAACATGTTCGGTATCCACACCTTCGTTTGACGTGAATCAATTGCAAACCAGTACAGTTCGCTATCATTTATAAGGAATTTTAAAGGGTGATTGGCAATCAATATCAGATTAATTGTCCTGTCAAATTCAGGACGGAACTCAGCAACGAATGTTTGGCAAAGTAATTTAGAGATCTTTTACTGAATGAAGCGCTGCTCGGATATGTGGAAAAGCAAATGAACTATACTATAACCTAATAGGGGATAAAATACAAAAGCTATGGATAGATGGTTTTCTTTATGATTGAATATCTGCACACCTCGGTAAGTACATCACACTTTCTAATACACCGTTCCTCCTGGCAAACGTTTTCGACAGGACAGGGTTTTCCGCTCAAGATAAAGTTCCATGTTCCCTTAGATTGAAGAAAAGATTTATGAAATCAAACGACTGAATTACTGCGATTCGTGGTTTACGGCTACTTAACAGTTAGCCTCTGAGTATAAATAATCAAAGTTACGGGCACTGGGTTTGACTAGATTCGGGATTGCTAATACTTCAATACAGCATTTCGTTAGATAGTGTCAAATATTCGGTACAGATTCTAGGAAAACGTAGGGGTCAAGCAAGCTCAAGTGACTCAGAGATTATGGAGTTTCCAGTACTCAACTATGTCCTGATCGGTCTTCCGTAAATATACTTGAATTTTATACAACTAATTGATTTATGAAAAAACAGTAGGATCCAGTTAGGATCTTTATTCAACCGAAGTTCTCTTCTGATCTTTGAAAACGAGATAATATCACTGGAGAACCGAAAAAACAACATAAGTGAGCTGTCTGAATGATGTTTCAATCGTATTATACCCTAGCCAAGGTTGAGTTAATTATACAGCTACCCAGTGACTCGTGGTCAAATGAAATAGTGACCAAAGAATGACCGCTAAACGAGAGATGCACAATTCTGATGATCTCAAAAAGTTTTGATTCTCGGCTACTCAGCCAGAATTTAATGTACTCATTGCGTAAAATCCATGTCAATGCCTTGTTGTCTATATACCGGTTCAGATATCAGAGGTGACAGATATACATCCTCCTGCCAACGAAAGCGTTTGCAATGAAGGAAACTACAAAGGTCATTTCTTGGAAGAGAGTGAGTTTTAGTTTGCAACTGGATCAGATTGGTGTTGTGACAGTGGGTATACTCGATAGGCGGATGTTAAATCAGACTCCTTGAGTAGGAGGGTCATCGTGTGCCAGTCGCCAGATGTTACCAGAACTTACTGTCACCGACAAATTCATATGTTCCTTCAAATCCCAAGGCTGAGTATCCAGAATAAGCCCACTGTTTTGATAATCCTTCGAGATTTGCATAAAAATCCAAAACGATTTCCCGGTGTAGACTGACAAATTGTAATCGAGAATCCGCTAAATAGTTTCCACAATAACGCCCCAGTAATGCGGATCGGTCGAGTACAGATGAGTACACAGCAGCCGAAAACGGTGTGGTAGTTGGCGGTTCACCAGATGCCATGTGGCTCAAAACTGCATTCTCACGGTCGGTGTCGAGCGTTGATGAAGCGACATCAATATAAACATCTAGAAAATCCTCTGTACATCTGAAAGATGTAAGGAATTTTAGTATAAGGGAAGCAATGGGAATAAAATGGAACGCGCTCGGATATTCTTTTATGCACTGTCAGCTGCTTGAAAACATTTTACGTGAGTAAGAATAGAAAACTTTTTCGTAGTTTGCTAAACGCGTGCGCCACAACTGCCGCAAAAGTTGCGAATGCTGAGATGCCGTATTTCTTTCTCCCTATTGAAGATGGCACTAGTTTCAAACTCGTTGTTAGTTAACAAACGAAGCTTGGCGCACATCTGGGAGATGCGCAAAGTTATGCTGTGGTGCACGGTACTGAGGTGCTCAGTGCAAAGCATCTGCACAGAGGAAAAAAACTCTTGAAAACTTCAACTCTGATGGGAATTTAGAGATCTCATAAAAACTACAAGCTTTTGAGTAGCAAACGGCTTGAACACCAGTGGCAGCCACCTTTTAAACTTGTTGCACCAATTCAAGAACAGTTAACACCATGTTGGTTCATTATCCCACTGATGTCTACCAAACTTTCCGACGCAATGTTCTTTCAGTTTTGCCGCATTTTCCTCCAGTCTGCTACAGACTGGGGCTAGCATCCTGACAAATTTGCGTGACTGTGCAAGGTTTTTATAAACACGGATATTTAAAGGATACTGAGTCAAAGCAAAAGTACACTGATGACAAACCGCTGTAACGATTGTCCTTAAGACAGCAAGCGGGTTTTTAGCGCCAGTTTTGATAATTCAGTGGTTCACAGAACATATTCAGGACCCGAAAGTTTGTTTCACATTTGAACACGATCTGACCTCAGGGGTAGATGATAAGGCTTCGGATTATTTCGTCTAGGGCAGGCGATAGCACCGTGTTGTAGTTTCAAGCTACATTATAGGGTCAGAAAGTGTTGTAGGGCGGTAATAAATCCGCAATTTACTAGCTACATGCAGCAACAAAAAATTGCCCCTCCGAAAAATAACTATTCTAATACATAGGATATAATGCATGAAACTCGTGAATCATCTCGTCAACAGGAGCATCCAGCAACGAGAGATGTAGAGGAGTGAACAAATGCTCATATTGCGGTAATATAGGCTTCATGTATCATTCAATTAATGGAACAGTCAAACATAAACAGCATAAAGTCCCATAAGTTTGGAATATTTCGGACCTCCCAGTCTGGACCAGCCTCGTTAGGAAATAAAATATGTAATATACTGATGTCTTACTGTGCCACCTCTTCTTCAAATACGTAGCTTCCATATGATAAATATCTAAATGATAATTTCGAAAATCGTCCTATACAAGTTATTCTATCAGTGTTGATTCCAACTTTCTAATGGCAATAAAAATAAAATACTGTCAATAAAATAATTTACTCGCGAGAGAGCTAGACGCATAATTTTGGCAGTAAGTTAGAGTTTTTTTCATAGTTATGAACTCACAATGGCATTTTTCCACCGAGTTGAAAGTGTTGAAATCGCAGGTGGACTTTTTCCCCACTGGCCGCGATAAACCGATAGACACATCTCCTCCCCGGCTCAAACGTCTTAGGCCAATTGGGTGAAAAGAACTGTCCTGATTTGGAAGATTCACCATCAGACTGGCTTCCTTGACTGCGAACCAAAATCTCTCCCCGTCCTGGTGAACAAGTATGACTAACCACCTCGACGAAGAATTGGAGTACACCTATGGAAAAGATAACACAAAACGGTCTTTCATAATTTGACAACAGACTGTGTGAGATTATGGGTTGGAAATCGGAGAGTTAGCAGAGTAACGCAGGTTGAGAGATCATCTTCACGTTAACTAATAGAACGTGGATTCACGAGTACTTTTCGCTTAAGGGTGGAATATCTCTGGTAAGGATCGAATGTGACATTCATTTATCTAAATACATTCAAATACGAACCCGAAAATCACGCAAGTTAATTATCTAATTACTTAATTGCCAAAGGATGTTCTTTTTGTTTTATCCGGGGTTTCATCGATCTTCAGTGAACATGGTTCAATGGAGGAAAATGAATTGGGAACAAATGGCAAAAATGCGCAAAATAAAATTTCAGGTCCGAACATTTAAGGTCATGTAACTGAAACTAGTAGGCACCATCTTCTTTCCTTACTCATTACAAACGCGAGGAGCGGAAGTTTTCTTTTGTCTTCGCACAAAATACATAGTACGTGAGCGGCGATCTAACGGGTTCGTTTCCAGAAATTGGCCAACATTTGTCTTATGTAAAGTAATGCTTTGATATAATAGGATGTTTAATGGCACCCAGAAGCTGTCCGTTAATATAAACATAAAATTGTCTTATAAGAAACACCCAACGGGAGAATCAAGATGTTCCTTTAAGTGACTTATTTTAACGAGTTTTGCGGTTATTCGTCGGCGCACTCAGACAAAATTGGCGCGTTCCTCCTCGGTATAAGTGACCTGATAATGTGTAAACTTAAGAAATGAATTCATTAGATCTTCTGAAAGTCAAGCGTAGAATTCTGCTCTCGAGCGAATTATAGCAAATCCTTTGGAGCCAGGCATTAGGTTCGGTGACAGTTTAAACTTGCATATCAACATTTCCTCCAAAAACCTGGTGGCTTTAAAAACGTTTAGATTGACATCTCCAAAAACTTCTTCATGAATTCCAACACGCCATGTTGCCCAAATGTGTCCAAAAATTGAACAGGCACGCATTACCGGATAGACAAATTTTCACCGTTTCTTTGCGTTACTTTTCGTGACTGTAGACACTCCATTTACTCTGCTGCTTAACCAATAACGGTAGATGTCACTGCGAAATTCAAATCTTACACGTCAAAAAACTGGCAGCTTATAAATTGACATACCCCGTTCCATTTCCATACCAAATCATTCTGGAAGAGGTTTTCTAAAAATCGAATCGTTTCTCAAGTTAGAATGTGCTTGTAGCTTTTTATGTTCAGGTTGTGGTGTCTTTGCTCAGATACCGGAAAAATTTTTATATCGTCGTGAGATCCATTTTCTTAAAAGTATATAGTTTCTTCCTCAGAGCGAATAGTATGCATGACATTTAATGAAACACAACTTTGTACTGTCCCGTATTCAGTAAGCACTTGTTTTCGTCCAACCTCCATGCAACCGATTGGAGAGATCTATCTATTTCCGCTTTTCATTACTGAATCTTTCCCAATACATTGTAACTGGCCCTGTTGGAAGTGGTAATCATTCCCTCCGGCGACGCCATTGTTCATTCCGGAATAATGAATGAATGAATGCCTACCGGCTGATAGCAGCTAAGTAAAAAGACCTTCATAACTTTAGAATTGGTTTACGTCCATATTTGATTTTCTCACAAAAATAGCTTTGAGGAAAATGTAAGAGATAACTGGCCCGGTATCTGGAAGATCAATCTGAGGTGCGACTTATCTCTGACCTACAAAGGCCTCTTTAAATTTTTGTCTCCAATTCTCCGGCGTCTAAAAAACTCGGATTTATTTGCTTGCAACTCGGAGTTGCAATAAAGTGTGAGAAGCTGGCACGAAACTTAGCGCGCGAAAAAGTACCAGTTAATACACCACCTAAAGAAGCGGGCTCCCAGAATAACTGGATTACAGTTTTCACCCCTTGTCTCCTATTCTTATAGGAAAACACTGTGGCGATATCGATATACGGATGACACATTTAGCCAACTGGTGCCTTGCAATAGGAACACCTGTCAGCTGCCTCTCGTTCGAATACGAATTCCGGGTACAGCAAGAGTAATGGAATTTTCATCAACTGAATCAGTCACATAACCACTCTCGATTCCCACGTCTGGTGCTTTTGAGGCCGAACACAATTAGTAGCGTGCAGTATGTATACCCACGAAAGCAGTGTCCCTACAGGCCAACACGCTCCCGGATGTCGATGCTACAAACGATAGTTGACTAAAACATTCCTAAGTGGACCATTTCACCAGTCAGTCAACTGGCATATGAAATACATTTCGATTTTCAACTGTAAGACTGCAGAGATATCAATCGTTTTGTTGTGACGAATGTTTCAACACTTGACAGCAAAACAGTTGTGCATAGGCTAGCCCAATTGTTGTCTACACCTCTGCACTGCCATACGGCAACGCCCTCTCGTAATGACAAATACAGACAAGGCTGTCAAATGATGTGACTTGACTGGACATTAAGTGCTAGGGAATAAACGCGCTTTGAAGACAGTTACACGCTCCTGGAGGATTTTGGCATGTTGGAAAAATTCTATAATGGAAAATTTTCGGTATTATAGAATAATTTCAAGTGCGGAGTTTCTCAACCAGAAAGGAAGGCGTCTCATTGAAATGGAACTTAAATATATGGCACAAAGCGGGACTTTCAGCGCGACGGTAAATTCACTTCGAATCAAAACGGAAGTCAAGAATTCATATCACTATAGCAGCAGTGTGTATTGTGCGCCAAGGCAATTTTTTTAAAACTCAGTTTGAACTACAAAATAATTTGCTTTCCACCGAAATGAAGGGTTTCAGAACAATGGGTGATATTTTCACTGCACACTCGACCATATCCGTGTGTGGACCACAATTCACTGATATGTTCCCTTATAATCTTGAATATTAGATTAAAATATGGTGGTGAGCGTGTGATTTTTTTTCGTAAAAAACACCTGGCGTTTGATCATATCTGCAAAGCTGACTTGATGAGCGAAGTGCACTGTCCTAGAAAGCAAGATTGTGAAGCGTAGCTTTTCTCGTTCTAAATTAGTATGATTTACAGGCACAGCTGACCATAAAAATAACTCCTTTTCTCGGGAAGCTCTGTGTTTATCGAACTTCAGCACAGTCAATGGTCCCTCTACCGATTAATCTGTGTTTTTTTCAATCATATTTATCTACCAAGCTTTCAGGCCAGTATTTGAATCGTTGGTGGGCTGATTTTAGTGGATCTACGTTCACAAAATAGTCATAAGTGGCTTGTTTGGTAGAACGTAGCAGATGTTTGCAAAGACGGACACATGAAATAGAAAAATTAGCAGTAGGTTTCTTAGAACTTGAACTCTTGCATCATACTAATAAGAATAGAGTGACCAGAACTAAATTAAAAAATGCAAACCTCCTCACAGTATAGCACACAGTAGCGTGAAGAGAACGTTGGACAAAACAAGGAAGAGGCCACTGAGACTGAAAAAATGGAACTTCTGCAAGCAAACCAAGAAGGAATCTCCGACCAACGGATAAACATGGGTGTCTTTAAATGAATTGGAGAAGAAATGAGTAATACTATTTTGACAGCATGCACTTATTAAGTATGAAACTTCTAATCCTGATTTAAAGTATTTCTTTGGAGGGTTTCTTACTCACAACGTACAAGAATTCTCACCAACAACCTAGACTGAATGTCCTGGCAGGCAAAAACGGCGACAGTAGAAAAATGTTAGATAAATTCGTGGCTGAATAACCTAAACAAATAATCCCCGATGACGAATTACAGTTAAAAATGATCTCTTGGTCACTGTGCAAAGAATTTAACAGGTTCACAGTATTCGTCTATATTATGAGTACTTACGCAAAACAGAAAACCGCTCGATATTCCTGAGCTAGTCAGGTGTAAAATGTATTGTACCTGAACCGATCTACACAGTGCTGTCTTTCAACACATTGCCACTTCTTTGGATCACAAAAATTATTTTGGGCACATTCCGTGCGCGGGAGGATCTTTGCTAAATTGAAAAATTCCAATTAGTATCGCCTGCCTTACAAAGTTATCTCGATATTGCGTGATGCGTTTAAATTGTAAACATTATTTATCTGGCGTCCTAAAGATGTGCGCAAGAAAGAGATATGGCCGTTGTAGGAAATGTGATATTTCGAAAGAAGAAGGAGCTTGATTACCCACGGGAAAACCATAAAAGCAGTTTCATGGGTACGGAACACAATAGGTGTTACATCATAAGAAGCACAACCCTGCAGGCACCAAAACCAATGTGTGTGCACCAAAACCAAATATATTACCATGGAGCATTCGGAATTTATCCACCATTTTTCGTCTCGTAATATGACTCTGCGGCGACAGCGTGGATGATTGGTACCTGGTGATTATTGTGGTAAAAAAAGTGCAGTTCGGAAAATTTGTGAACTTTTCTTTGGGACATTTTGTCTTCGGATAGGAGTATCACATCAAAAGTCAGTTAAATGGTGCGTTTTTAATACAGTGAAAGCCATACAGTACTCTATCCTTCATTTACTGAACTCAACACAGTCATCATTATTAGTGTTTATCCGATTTAGTTCTGCCACAAACTTCTCAAAAATTGCGGTTGACTATTCAGTATATCAGTGTTTTGTCATGCTTCTAAAAAATTCCTAGTCAGGGATACTGTTAAGATAGCAGGCAAAAAAGACACAAGACATGTGTTCAATGTGTGAACTAACACGTACAATGTAACATTTGATTTGGGTTACTTCTGTATTTTACCAGATGATTTATGTGGGAAGTGACCATTATGGTCAACTATACGCCGCAGCAGATAATATCAACGCAAGTTTCTGTGGTGCTCATCATCACGCTAGATAACTATGATTTTACTCAGGTAGTGAATTAGAAAACCTCCATTGTCAAAAGTGGATTACATTATTCGCTGAATTGCCATATTATCATTACTTTTTGAAGAGCATGGTTACAAGCATAAAAAGTGAATGCAAGCGATGGATGCGAAAGTGTAAC